ACTTGATCCACACCATCTCTCGCCCCCACCGGTCTAACGATCGCGACACTCGTTTTCGGGTTGCTAGTGCCGTCATCGATAGTCGTACGATAGTCTACTGTACGGTCTTCCGTCAACGCCCGCCGATGCCGCATGCATCGAAGCGGGTATTCTGCCCTTCCGCCATCGTATAACCGCAGCAATTGCAACGAAAAGCTACAGCGTGATACAAGCCCTTACATCTGAGACCATACTCACCCCTGGATACAGGGTATCGTGAAGGCCACACCCTCGAACACGGTGTTCACCTGGATCCCTGGGCACTGTGGTATCCCAGGAAATAGCGAAGCCGACAGCCTGGCAGGGTCTGGACCAGCTGGCCCCCGTTACACCGACGAAGTGCCACTACAGGACATAAAGCGATGGATAGTCAGCAAAATGTGGGAAGCCTGCACACTTGGAAATACCTAATTTTACACGTGACGGAATCCATCTTTGACATAAAGGATGAGACGTAAACAAACATGTCATGTAAAATTAAGTGCTCCGAGACTGAAAAGTTCGGTACTCGACGAAAAGTACGTTTGATTGAGCTGAGTTTTGCGTCTATTACGACTCAATTTTATGTCAAAAATGACGCTCGTATATGCCAGTCTCAGAGCACCTAAATTTACATGAATTTTTTTAAGTGTGTGGGAAGCAGAGTGGTGCCAATCCCAATCCCTCTTCATCCGAAGAATCCAAGGAACGACGAGCAAGTTGACGGATATGTCGAAACTGCGGGACCAGAAGGTGGTTTCTCGTCTTAGGACAGGCCACACATAGTTTTGGTGGGACGCAGTTCCTGTGCCTGTGTCCGCAATACCAACATTTACGGAAGCAGTACGCACTTCCCAACAGCATTAGGGACATACTGGGCGACGAACCTTCCACTTGAGCGACAGTTATTTATTTCCGAAGGACGCTGGGCTATACAACATCATTTAGGCCCTTTTTTTCTTTTGGCTGACGGGACATCTCTGCTGGACGGGGGATTACCAACAATCAATACGAAACTAACGATTTTAAATTGGCTCACTACTTGACTAGCCTATTGGTCCCAAGCAAACGATTAACGTGCCCCATTCTAGTCGAAATTCTAGTACTACATAATGTTTGTTTTGATTCGCTATGAAAGTTTGACAGATAACATCAGGGGTGTGTGGATTCATGCAGAACATGCAGGGGTGAGTGAAATAGCTTGGGACTGCTTAGGACCGTTGTTCTGGTACTGAGTGAGCCAAAAATAATAATGATTTTCTTCGGGACCTACTAGTCTTAGAGTTACCTCTATGGGATTATCCCTCCTACCGTAGAGCTCCGATCTCTTTCAGAACCCTACATAACTTTGATGTACCAGATTTCTTTTTTTCGTTGCCTGTATTGTTAGTCTTTTACTGGAATCTGTTTAAATTGCTTCTATTTGAGTACATGTGTATTGTAAGCCAACTCCGTAACAATATTTGCAAGCAGAACCCTCCTCTGGGGCCCCCTATTTTATAAAGATGAACTAGCCAACGGCTAAAAATCTCTCTAATAAAGACAACAACAACAACAAAAATATTGCCAGGGATGTGCAACAAATGCAGTTACTGTTCTTATTCATCGTCAAGCATTGTAATCTTATAAAAATGATAACACATTCTTAATTTCAAAGTATAAAAACCAGCACAGTTTTTATGACTGTTGAGTTTTCAATTGCAGTTATGGGGGGTCGAGCCCTCCTCGCTATGAGGTTTTGGTGGGAATCAACTGAGAACGAGTAAAACAGTAACGAGTAAAGTTGAGAAAATTTTCAAGCAGTTTACCATTGGCATGCAAAATAAAATCGAACGACTCCGCTGTATCCAGGCCAAAACGCACCACTACATTGGGGTAAAATGATCCGCATGATAGAGACAAGCCATAAGCTGCAAGTAGAGAATGCAAAGGCATGACGTATTTAAAATGATTATTCCTTTATGTTACATCAGAAATAAGGTCTCAATAGAGTGTTAAACTGTTATTCATGAAGTAGAACATCTAAAAAACATACGAAAAGTGAATTTGTTCCATTCTGTTGCGATATATGCTGTTCTTAATTTGAAGTCGATGATTTTAACAACTGTGTTATGTTTTGAACAAAATGCTTTTTTTTTAAGGAATCAGTAGGTCATTATATGATTTTATGATCAGGAATTATTTGTGAAACCTCCAGTTGAAAACAAACACAATCCGTTACCCGGAACATGCATCTGAGGAAAAGTTATCGTTGTTTTTCTATAAGTGAACATTTTACCCCAGGGGTGCATTATAGGCTGTTCTCCTTTATACCCCGTTCACATTACAACGTATATCACGTGATATACGCTGTCTTGCAATGAGCACTCATACATATAGTTTTCACTGGAAATCCTATGTATGAGTGCTCATTGCAAGACAGCCTATATTACGTGATATAGGTTGTAATGTGAACGGGGTATTACACTTGCCACCGCACCACACTGCTTCGGGTTTATTCGTAGATCTACGCATTTTTAGATTTACTACGGATCGAAGGACCTACCATAAAATTCAACGGATTTTATAGATTTTTAGGGATTTTTTTAAGTGTCGAAGAATTTTAACGGATTCAAAAATGTTTGGCTCACTCCGCGGTCATAACTTAGAAAAATATATTGCTTTTGGAATGACTGTTTTTGGAAAATGGTCATTAAATTTAGCAATAACTAACGCAATGGAAACAAATTTACCTATTTACGGATTGCTCATTGAAATTTTAACAACACCGCATCGCAGTGCTGCTCTCACATTCTCTTTTGTGATCAGCTTTTCATTTCGATTCGATGTAAATGCAAAATAATTATTGAGTGCATCGCAATTTTTTGCTTATTTCTGGGAGCCGTCATCCAGCGAAGATCAATTAATCAATAGAGTTGAGATATTATTATGGATTCCACAAAGTAGTTGAAATTTTTTTTTTTTTTTTGCTATGGTCACTTTAACACTCTTGGGTCATTCGTGACTTGTCCGGGGGTGAGATTTGAACTCGTGACTTTGGCGTGAGAGGTATGGATGTTAACCACTACGCCGGGGTCACCCCCATAGTTGAAATTTAAATGCACTCAATAAATAAAGAATAAGAAATCCTCTCAATATTTCTAATAGGAATGTTCTTTTGGCTCAAAAAATTATCTCCGCTCATCTTTCCCTCTGAGGATTTCTAAATCCTAAAGCCCTACATTAAAAGTACGGACGACTGAAGCCAGAAAACAAAAAAAAAGTTGTTCCAATCGAGCAATGCTGTGCACTTTGACAATTCAGTGCCAACATTTCAAAGGGGCGTAATTGTATTTGTAAACAATGGCTTTAGCCGTCGATTTCTCGCGAATAAAAGCTCACTCATGAAAAATAATGACACCAGCAGGTAGAGGAATGTTTCCTTTACCAGCTAGCATTGTTATTTTGGAGAGGTAAGATTTCATTCGCGAGAAATTTACGGGTAAAGTCATTGTTTACAAAAGCAATTACGCCCCTTTGAAATGTTGGCACTGAATTGACCACTTTGTTAAGCAGTTTTTGTGTGACTTTCTACCAGCGATTTCACAAAACTGAACTGACTAATTTCTATATTTTTTATGAAACGCACAAATGTTGGCTACTTTTCTCGTGGTTCTAGAAAAAAAAATCTCAAAATAATGTCTTATTTCAAAGTTCAAGTGGTAGTAAACGTCATTTTAACTGCTCGAATGAAGTGGTTAATTGGATTTGACTAGATTTTGGCAAGACGTCCATACTTTTACTGTGGGGCTTTACTAAATCCAACTACCTTAATGCCACACTGTCTGGGGTACAATGCTGCCACCTGGCAATCAACACTAGAACCATATGCAGTGAACTTCTAATGACCATGGCATGAATATGGGTATTCATTTAATGTATGCTATTATGGTTGTTATTGTGCCTTGCGTGGTAAATGAAGAAACAGCGGCTATCATTCATTGATTAATGATTTTTAAGCGTCGCTAAATTTTTGGCCTCTCAATGTTAGGATCCATTCTTTAAGTAGGGAAAACATGGTTGCAATACGCTAGAAGCGATAGGTTCCTATTGTTGTGTATGGACTTGATGAGATATATTAGCCAAATGCTCGGCAAAATGTTATATGAATTTGCTATGATTGTTGTTATTATTAATTAGATATGGCAACAACTGACTTTTCTATTACTCAGTTATGGTCCCATAGATTTTTTGATATTATTTTTGATATTTTACCTCTTACACACTTAGATTTTTTCGCCGAGATTGGCACCACCGAGCAGCTCGGCATTTTATTTTGCTGGATCTCAGTGAAAAACTTGCCGAGATTCAGCTAACAAACGGGAATTTTGCCGAGATCTCAGCTAACAAACATATTTTTTGCTGAATTTCCAGCAAAATAAAATGCCGAGCTGCTCGGTGGTGCCCATCTCGGCAAAAAAATCTAAGTGTGTAGGTCAATCAAACTACTAGCAATTTTTGACCAATTTTAATCGTAAAACTTGCTATTGATTTGATATTCTCATCTACGCAGATCTTCGCCTGAGGTTTTTGTTTATTCATTTCTCGATTACTTTTTCAAAGGGACGTATCTGCTTTTGTAATCGAAGATTCAAACGTAAATTTGTCGACACTATTAACACTCCCATTCAAATAAACACCACCATCAGAAAGGGTAATGCTTCATGTTTCCCCAACAAGATGGTGGAGTTAGTTTGCGTGTGAGTGATAAGAGTTTCGACAAATTGACATTTGAATCTTTATTTTCACAAGCAGATACGTCCCAATGAAATTTGTCTCATTTACCGGCCATCTTGCGACTATTCGCACTACTTGCCTGTACGTTTTAACCACCGCAAAACTCTAATTTATTATAAGAGCCACAATATTCAGAATTCTCAACAGCTGATTGTCAAAACAGATAATTCATTCATGATATGCCATGTTGTCGCCGTGCTGTACTACCAGTTTGTAAACAAAGTGGACGCAGTAAACATGCTCAGGTTGTGACTTTCGTGACTGTGAATAAAAGTGAAAATATAATACATTTATTTTAAGATTTATTTTCGTTTCTTCATTAGTAGTTAGCTTCTACCACAGAAGAAGTGATTTATTCTCGCATTCCATTTAAATATTATCATTCATGCACGGGCCATGTCTCTCTACAAGATAAGGTAGGCACATTGGCAATGCTATTCGATTAATTGAAATCTATTAACAACACAACTTTCTCCTGTGTAGGGTTGCTGGTCTTGAAGATATTTTACAACAAGATGTTATTGATTTGAAATTTCTGAGAGATTTCTGTTTCTACGGTATGCAGGATATAAAATGATAGCTCAAAAATAAAACAACTAAGCGAAACGCCCCCTTAATTTTCTTGTTGTAGGTATTCCTGATTGCAGTGGATTGCGATCGCTATGTTGGAAACTGATGTTGGGATATTTGGGCCCAAAAAAAGACACTTGGTCTGCGACTCTGGCTAAAAAACGCGAGTTGTATAAACAATTCATTGGTCCGTGAATGAAGCGTGGGGGAGTTAATGCTAATACTGACATAATATATATTTTTAGAGGAGATGGTGGTTCCACCTGGTGATGGCATCCAGGATCGGTCTGTATGTGTAGATCATCCACTGAGCGACGGAGCGGAGAGTAACTGGAACACTTTTTTCAAAGACAATGAAGTGCTGTTGCAAATTGACAAGGATGTTAGAAGACTCTGTCCGGATATTTCGTTCTTTCAGCAGGTAGGAGTTTGTTGTTTTTGGCATGCTTTGAGAGTCGGCGAGGTGCGAGATAATATGTTTTAACCTACAAGATGGCAAACATGATAGTGCGATTATAGTGTATTAAGAGGAATAGTTCACTCAAATTGTGGCCACAATTCTACAATTTCAATAATGTATCGTGGCCTATCATGAAAAAATTGAAAACCCTAACTTTTCCCCCTAAAGAGATAAAAGGATATTTTCCTGGGCAAAGTTGTAGAGCTACTCAAAATTTGAAACTTTGTTGAAAATAGCAACTTTCTATGTTTTATACCTTCTTTCTGTAGCCTTTTTCTCCAAGGAATGCACACATATGCAGAATTGGTTTGTTCACAATCTTTTGCTGCCAGCTGCTCTAACAATTTCAGTGGAAAGAATTGTCAAAAACTGTTTTGAAACGCTTTTACAAAGCTCCAATCTTCTCTTGTGAGAGCGAGTATTGTCGGCAACCAGTTTTTCTTCGGCAACCGTTCCATTTGAACTGCATGTAAATCTGCTGTTCTATTATCGGCAACTCGAAATCAGCTACAATTAGTAGTGCGTGTGTTTCATTTCAAGAAAACCTTGCTAGATTGCTTTTTCTCAGTGGTAAAAATATAGTCAAATTGAAGCTGAAAGCATAAAGAATCGTTTGCATGCATTAGCGAAGTGTTTTCGTAAGAAAATCCAGTGAAAATAGTGTTTCAATTTGGGTTGCCGAAAATAGTCTGGAATGCCGAAGCCGTCATTTTCTAATGCATTTTAAAACATATAATATTCGATGCAAATGTGAACACAGTAAAACCATAGAGGTAACTCTAAGACCACTGGGTCCCGAAGAAAATCATTATTATTTTTGGCTCACTCAGTACCAGAACAACGGTCCCAAGCAGTCCCAAGCTATTTCACTCACCCCTGCACTGCCCTGTGCGGCATAACAGTCCCATTAGCATTTTTGGCGATTATGAGTTATACATTGGAATCGATTGTCAAGTACCATCACTTTACAATGTACACGAAAAAAATCCTACGTTGTTCAGAAAATGTCACGAAAAATAACAAAACTATGTTGTCCCATCCATAAGAGCTCATGGAGAAAAAAATCTTCAACAGCGTTTTTCTCAGCTTGCTGTTTTAACGAATGGGACAACTATGCTGAAAAGGGCAGTGCATGTTCTGCATGAATCCACACACCCCTGATGTTATCTGTCAAACTTTCATAGCGAATCAAAACAAACATAGTGTAGTAATAGAATTTCAACTAGAATAGGGTACGTTAATCGTTTGCTTGGGACCAATAGGCTACTAAAGTGGTGAGCCAATTTAAAATCGTTAGTTTCGTATTGATTGTTGGTAAAACTACATGTTTTGCTGAAGACAGTTTGTGACTATGCGCATTCCTTGAAAACTTGTAGCACTTTTTATCCTAATTTTGTCCTATTTTTGACTTGTCAAACCGAGACACAATCTCAACAACTCTGTTTAAAGCTTAGATTTTGTATTACAAAGTGACGAAGGTTTGGTTAGCGCTAATTCATAAATGAGTAAATATGGTCACGTTTAATGTTCGCGTGTTTAGCCATTTTCTATACAAAAACGAGCCAAACTGGACTAACTGCTAATTAATTTAACAAGCCACACACTTACATAACTTTACCAAATAGGCACCACCGAGCAGCTCGGCATTTTATTTTGCTGAATCACAGTGAAAAACATGCCAAGATTTAGCAAAATTTATGTTTGTTAGCTGAGATCTTGGCAAATTCTTGGCAAGTTTTTCACTGAGATCCAGCATAATAAAATGCCGAGCTGCTCGGTGGTGCCCATCTCAGCAAAATAATCAAAGTGTGCACATTTAACTGATAGAACCCCAAGGCATCAACTTGAACTTCCTCAAAGTACCAAGGATGCAAAATGCGTGTCGATTCATGCTTGAAATGACTGGTTATTGAGAATGCGATGATCAATCGTTATGATTTTTAATAATGGTGGCTCCATTCGACAGGTATGGCTATCTACTTTGGAATAGGTAAAACCCTGATTGTACCTGTGGTTGGCCATCCGGAACGGAAAAACCTGGAAAAGTGCCCAGCACAATGCCCAGCACATTTATGTTGAAATGACTAGTTCTCGGCAATTTCGATACCAAATTTTAAGAATGAGCCGTTATTAAGGTATGACTATCTAATTTCAAACAGAAACGACAGGACCTGTAGTTTGCCAGTCGGGACGGAAAAACCCGTGAGAGGTGACTCAGATTCACCACGAAAATGGTCAATTCCTGAAAGTAGACCTAGAGATCCGTGATTTTTTTCTCTAAATTGCATACAACAGGAGGATAGAGGAAATATGCAATCACCATATCGATTCTGCTAACGAGTGGCCAGAAAATCGTCCTCTGGATAGTCTAAATCACCGGGAAACAGGTCAATTCTTGAAAATAGGCAAATTGATCTACTATTTTTTTTTTCTAAATTGCATACAATCAACAGTATAGCGGAAATATGCCATCTCCATATCGATTCTGCTACCGGGAGGGGTCCTGTGGATATCCGGAATCACCAGAGAAATGGTCAATTCCTGAAAGTAGACCAGGAGATCCCAAATCCCCGATCTTGGATTCCAAAATGACAATTATCTATTGCCAGCTTCTACACTTCGTCCCCGTTCCGAAAACACCTTTTTTTTCTCTTGTTTACCGTCGATCTTGTTTTCCGTGCTAAGCACCAATGCTACCGACACCAAGGAGGCAGCTCCCACACCGGGACCCTACCTATCGACCCATCATCTCATGAACCGGGGACCAACGGCTTTACTTCCCTTCCGAATAAAAGCGTGATCAGATATGTTATACCTCAGAACATCCCGGTGACGCCGACTGGGATTGAACCCAGGCATGCTGGGGTTAGAGGTAATCACGCTTAACACTACACCACCGGCGCCGCTGAAAACACCTATTTTGTAGGGTATTTGACAGTTGTCCACAAACCGGAAGTCGACATTTTGAATTCCAACATGTCGCCAATCATCTATTTCCGGCCTCTACACGTCGTCCTCGAACCGAAAAGTATTTTAGGGTATTTGACACTGTTTCATAAACCAGAAGTCGCCATCTTTTATTTCGACATGGCGTCAATCATCCTTTTTCGGTTGCTACACGTCGTCTCCGTTCCAAAAATACCAATATTGTTGGCTGTCTGACACTTTTTCACAAACCGGAAGTCACCGCATTGTATTCCAAAATGGTGTCAATCATTTATTTCTGGCACTACCGTTCCGAAAAATATACATATTGTGGAGTATTTGGCACTTTTATAGCTTTTATAACTGTTCATGTGCTTGCTACTAGCGCTGCGTAGTGAGAGAGCTATGCATTCTAAAATCGAATATGATGGCTTCCAATTTTCTAAAAGCCAAGATGGCATCTTCTGGTTTTGAACAAAAAAAAAATACTGTTAAATATCCTAAAATAGGCGTATTTTAAGATCGAAAATGTGTATGTGTTACCAAAATGGTGACTTCCGGTTTTCTAAAATCTAAAATGATGACTTTCGGTTTGTGAAAAACTGTTAAATAGTCTACAATATGGGTATTTGGGAAGAAAATGTTGTGTAGAGACCAGAAATCAATGATTTACGCAAAGGGCAATCAACTCCACACACTGTGCCGAAACACAGCATGTAAAACTGTTCGGCACGTTAAGGCACAGTTTGACAAGTAGGACACATATAATATAATATAAAATGGCATCACTGTTGAGTGCTGACGTTTTGCAAATCGTTGCCAATGTTTACTACTCGGTTGAATAGTTTGTTTACTCAAAAATGAAGCTAGTGAGAGAATGTATCACTGTTAAAACTAGTGAAACAACGATCCACCAACAACCCACCGATTTTGAGGATCGTTCGACAAATTCTGTAAGTATGCTCTGAATCGTGAATCTTTTCAGATCTAGAAAAATCCGTCTTTTTTTAATCACAACAAAAATCCCAGGCCTCACTTCAATCGAGTTCATCCACACCACGGCCAGTCAAGAGTGTCTTGTCGATACGGCAGTCAAGACGGCTGAAACGGGTTACCTCTAGTAACCATTCGTGCCAGACGGTTTCCTTTGATGCTACATTTGGAAGGCCACACAAACAAGTTCATTAATATCAATCAAATGGATCACAACGGGATGCTGGATCACCTACAGTATGCTGTTATTCGTACGAAAAGATTAATATCATGCATCCTTCGAAGATCGGATTTTTATTTGGAACGGTGAGCATCGAGCATCTATAGCTCAATGAATCCTCCCATTCAGTATTGGAAAAGTTCACCAAACGTTACTATGACTCGTGAATTTTTCCAACCCTGCACGGTGAATGAGAACGACCCAAATTTGAGTTTAGTTCGCTCATAATCGCCAAAAGTGCAGGAACTCAGCGTTGAGTAAATTTGTCTCATGGTTTCCTGTGGAAAACCTAAAAAAATTGCCGGAAAATGAGGAAATTGACGAAAATTTTATTCAGTCTCGGAATAGTACCAATAGACTGAGTGAATCCAATCTTTAATTTTCTAAAATTCGGGAATTTTCCCCTGGAAAATCCTGGAAAAACCTGGGAAAACATGAGGCAGAACCTTCTGCGGGAGTTGAGCTACATTAATAATTCTGTTATTCAGAATGAACAATAAAGAAGAAACCCGTAACGTGGGTAGATCACCTTTTCGTGGTACGTTACGGGATGTAAGATCTACCATCGATTCCTAGTCCTGACTACTTCAAACTAGGGGAACAGGATTTTTCAGTAATCCAAGGAACACATCTTAGTCCTTGTTACTTTTTATGCCTTGTTGATAGTGACAAGACTCGGCTTTGTCTACCGAGGATGATCTTGAAACAAGGCAAAAAAAAATGAGTTAGTTGTCTTCATCTATGTGATTCCTAATCTTCTATTCGTTGTTCCCTAGGTTGAAGTGGTTAAGACTAGGGTTCTGATGCATGGTCATTATCGGTGTCATACCTTAATTTTGTTGCTAAGGAATTCAATTTTGACTGACAAAGGGGCGCGCCTTTGGAGGGTGTTTCAACGGTTTCAACACTCCGAAGGGTATAAATAGCGGGACCTTTCAATTAGAGTCGGATCCTTGCGATAAATGCAAGAGTGGCAACTGTAAAAAAATCGAATACTTCATCATTTCTCAATAGTGATGGAGTAATACGACATGCACTAAACTAAGGACACGGGATATACTACAATAGATCAATTTACTGGTCGCAGTAGTGTTAGGTCCCGAACAGAGGAAAAAAAAAGAAGAAACAAAGCTTATCATTGACCAATGCACGGAATGAACTCACAACCACATTTGACAAAATGAACACATGATGTAATGCTCACGTAACTTTAGAAAAGTGCCTATCAACTTTATAAACAATTTGTTTGGCCCTTTTCACGTGAACCAAAGAATGCCCACGCAAACCAAGGCACTATCGGGAAGGCGACAATATACCCTACCCGATGGTGTTGTTGGTTTGCGTGGGCGTACTTCGGTTCGCGCGAAAATGGCCTAACAAGTTTTGTGTACAAAGATTGATAGGACATTTTTAAATGTTACGCGAACATGATTCATGTGTTCATTTTTAGTAAACACGGCACCGCTCAAACGTCAAATTTGGTGGTGAGTTCATTCCGTGCATTGGTTAATAGGGGGCAACCAGATTCGAATCCCTGTCTTGCCAAGGATCTTCTAGGGTGGGAATTTAAAAAAATGTAGAAGGGTCTGTGCCTAGGCGCACGAACGGAAGCTTGGCGTAGGACCGCTAGTGGACGGAACAAATGTTAACATTTAGTTCTTTTAATTGATCAATCATCAATGATCTTAACTCTTTCCGTTTTTTTTATTTGTAAGCGTATCAAATTTGTAGTATTTATTTCAAAGAGAAAGCTGATGAAGAGAATCCAAGGGACTGTCAACTTGAGTATTTTCGATTCATCTACCCCGACTTTAAAAGGTGTATTTTGATTTTTTTGTTATTTACGACATTGTGCATTTTGGTATTAAAGTGTATTCAATTACCCCTCACAGGATTTCCTTCCGAATTATATGAATGGAGTGGGGCGGAAAGTATCGTTTGTGCAGAATATGTAAAAAAGGAGGGATTTCGAGAGATTGAACTCGTGGGAGCTAATTTTCTCACAAATTTGATTTTATTGGCTTTCTGGGGACTGAATATACACCCAACGAATTTATGGTGGTCCTGAAAAGGACCGTTTTGTAGTGCTGGTTGAGTAATGCTGAGCTGAGCACGACGAACTACTGATTCCGATCCTAGCCTAGCGGTGGGACTTCTTCCTTCTTCTCTATGGTTGCTCATATGAGCTCTGCAGCTCACTGCTTGCAGGCAACCTTTCGTTGTTGTTGTTGATGAAAGCACTCCTGCTGCTGCTGCTGCTGCTGCTACCACTACTACTGTTGCTGGACTGGACACCACCACTTACGGTGGTTGAATGAGCACCGTTCAGTGGGACCGCATCGAATTCGATTTTAAAGTCTGTGTTAGGGAATACGCTGTTTTCAGACATTCGGTGATAATTTTGATCATTATTGCAACAGTTGGACATTTGGTATTTTTAAATAGTGACCTATTGAAAATTAACTAAGTGTTCATTTTAGCAGATTGGTAGATAAATTTTCAATCGTTTGGCTTGTTTAGAATTAAAATCTATCTGCTATTGGTCGAAACCTGACCTCTTTTCGTAATTCTGTGCATTTTGGTTTTTTGAAATTGCGTGAATTCTATAGATTCTGTGGAGATCTATCTAGCCCTGATGTATGGGTTGGTAAAGGGAAAATGTAAACGTTGCGGGAGACGATGTCTTAACACTCGAAAGCAATTTTGTGAAATATGAAGTAAAACAAATCCTAGCTAGTTCTGCATGATGAATTTGTTTGATTTAATTTATTTGTAAAGTCGCCGGGAAATACCAGCTGGCGATTTGTTTTTTATGATAACTCCTTACTTGAAAACAGGCAAAAACTCACATACAGGCTGCTTTTTCATGGTATTCAGTGATATAATTTAATAATCAATAAATTATCTCAACATTTAGTGGCAAACCATTCTTTAATTTTGGTAACGTACAAAAAATTCTATAATCCAAATTAAATTTCGTATGTAAGCGCCGATTGAAACAATCTTTGGTGATTGGTGATTGATTAAACGAAAGAAACGAATCGTGCGGAATGAAAGCCGAGGAAAAACTAATTGCAACAATATATTCAGGTCTACAATTCCACACCTTCTATAGACAGGTTGAGCCTTGATAGCTAGCTGCTTGTGGGAACTGATGACTTTGACCAATATCCAAATAATACTCTTTAACAATTTTTGGTGGCCCTGAAAGGATCGTTTTGTAGTGATGGTTCAGCAATTCTGAGCTGGGTGTTCAACACGGATGAGGCTGTCGAGCTGTATGTCGTTTGGAGCAAGGGTGACACGCATGGCATAGATGACCGACCCGCAGCGACTCACGAAGAGCTACTGATTCCGATCCATAGCATAGCGGTGCAGCTTCTTCCTCCTTTGATGGTTGCTTATGTGGGCTCTGCAGTTCGCTACTTGCAGGCAGACTTTCGTTGTTACTGGAGAAAAATTTTCAACGCCACGCGCCGAAAGCACTGCTACTGCTGCTACTAATTTCGACGACCGAACACCACCACACAGTGGTGTGGTCGTTGGGAGCGTGTGGTTCTGAGTATGGCGATGAGTGTGCAAAATATTACGCAATTACATCCTCCCTATTTGCATGCGCCCGAGGATCGGAGGCGAATGCCACTTTCGTCTACTTACTACTCTCTGACGGCTGTGCTGGGGAAGCAGCATATGCATGTAGGTAATTGGTGGATTTGTTAGTTAATTCGACGCTTTTGGACAATTCTGGACATTTACCAGTTTTTCAATAGTTTCTTGTTGAAAATCAACATTCGGAAGCATTGTTATTGATGCGTAGCCATATTTCTGATCGATTGGCGATAAAATTATTGAAATTGGACCAGGGGCAGCTGAGTTATTAACGTTCAAAATCTTTCTTAATTTGTTACATGTTCCATTTTTGGTTTCACAAAGTGAACCCTCATATAGAAATCAAAGATGTAGTCCTACGTCAAAAAATCTCGCCGTTTTTCTCGGATATTCTTGCCAGCCATTAATCTCAATTGGCATGGACTTCGATGGTATATCCACTGGAGTTTATTTGCTTGACCACATAATTTTGAAAAAAAGTCTCAGTACTGGTGGAGGATGCCAATACGTATTGATCCCAAAATATATAAGCTCTTGAATTATAAATTACCAACGTTTGACATCTGTCTGGCGCTGAGTGGATTGAGCAAAAACTGCTCGAGTTCTATACATACTTACAAGCGACGGGTAAATCACTTCTGATGAATCCTATTTTCGTAGCATGACAGATCCTAAGGGTTAGATGTTTGATAGTTTTAATCGGTGGTACATTGCAGTAGGAACTGGTAGGCTTGAACGGTTGGTGGTGTGTAATTAGGAGGTGGTAGAAGGTATCATAATCAGCGAAACGATAGGCTTGGGTGATATCTTTAAGGACCTGCACTTCTGAGTCGATCAGATGATCTAAAACTGATTCGACGATGTTACTTCTAGGGTGAGATTGAACTCTCGCCCGTTCAAGTTCTGGGTTTACTTTAGTCGGGGAGGATTTAATAGACAGAAATTTCATTCATCATCGATCGGGTTTCTCCTTTGCTCCTGTACATCTGCAAGGAATAAACAGTTTAAAGGGACATCGAGACAGAATTTAACTAACTTAGGTTAAAGTATATGGACTAAAAGTCGTCATATGATTATGCAACGACAAGTAACAAATTCATTGTATGATATGTCATCCCAATGAAATTGTTGTGTAAGGAAAATAAGTATTTGTAGTAGTAATTCTAGAGGGGGCTACATTAATCCTAGGAGGGGGGGCTCACGTGTGAATAGTGAGTGCACGGATTGGCGCTCATGATTATTCATTATGCTGTTCTTTCCATTTCTGGTGATAAACTACTTAAATTTTTAGGCCGAAAGGAACGGAGGTTGAATGTCTGTTTTAAATTTTGTCAATGATAATATCAAATCTCAAAAATCCAAATCTAGCTTTTTTGTAGAGTTTTTGCTTTCACGTCAAATTAACTGATATGTTAGATAATGTACTAACTGGACAGCATTTTACAACATTCCCTAGGGCTATAGGTGACATGGGTGCATACAATAATGCTGAAAAAGTTACTTTAGCAACTGAGCTCTCCATTGTGTTTTGTTTCTTTTTTCAGGCGACTGAGTTCCCTTGTGAATCAGTAGTTAGTCACAATCGCGAGCGAAAGTTGCATATTAGAGTAGCACCAACAACTCTCAGTTCGGCTAACGTTGAAAGGAAGGGGCTAGGAGTGACCAAGGTTGGTATTTTTTTTTTTTACTTTTCAATATTTGTATGCGAATCAGCGGGAATTACTAATTATTCATTAAACGCTCACTAACTCAAACCCAACAATGGATTTGTAGCAAGTAAGTTTGATTCTATGATGGCGTTCCGATTCTAAGATTTTTTTTTTGTATTTTCGAAAATAGATCAATTTGATAACGAAAAGAGCCATCGAGAGCTACGAAGCAATGGACGAAGGACAGGAAGCGCATTGGGAAGTGGTCGAGCGAATATTGTTCCTATACGCCAAGTTGAATCCCGGACAAGGTTACGTACAAGGCATGAATGAAATCATCGGTCCGATATATTACGTATTGGCCTCCGACCCTAACTTAGAATATCGTAAACATGCCGAGGCTGACTGCTTCTTTTGTTTTACTGCACTGATGGGTGAAATAAGAGATTTCTTCATAAAAACTCTCGATGAATCTGTCGACGGAATTAAGGGCATGATGGCAAAACTGTCGAACATGCTAAGAGAGAAGGATTTGGAAGTCTGGACCAGATTGAAGGATCAGGAACTTTATCCACAGTACTACAGCTTTCGATGGCTGACTCTTTTACTATCGCAAGAATTCCCACTGCCAGATGTTTTACGGATTTGGGACTCGGTATTTGCTGATGAAAAGCGCTACAATTTTTTGGTAAAAGTATGCTGTGCAATGATCATGTAAGTAGTTCGGTTGTATCTGCTCAGTATGTAGGTTGTTACCACATTGCTTCTATTCAGGTTACTTCGAGAACAAATTTTGGAAAACGATTTTGCCAACAACGTGAAGCTGCTACAAAATTTTCCGCCAATGGATATTAAAGTAGTTCTGAAGAAAGCAACCAGCCTTGACTAGATCCCCACAAACTGCAACGAACAATCTCCTTGCCGCGTCACATTATTTTAGTATTTTTTTATGGCTTTACAGCACTTCAATGGACATGACGAATTACTCATTGATGAGTACATCTCAGTACAATATATCATGCAAATTATATCATTATTGTAAAGATATGATTGTGAAATAAATATGTATTTCCATTTTCTTATGTCGGGTGTTTTTAATTTTTTTTTATTTTGGAAACAACTTAGAGTCAATTATAAAATAGAATGAAGAACCACGTAAAGCACGCTCAACACTTGGCATTTTTTGTTTAGAGGCTTGCTGCTTTTTTCCAGGTGTTAGTTCATTGATGCGATATGGGTAGCCAAAACAAACAAGTGAAGATAAGGATGAATGTTACATGTCCCATTAATTATGTTAAGCCCTTCCTCCCTTTTCCGATACCTAATGCGTTGCTCGGGGGGTCTCCCTTAGCTCAGTTGGTAAAGACGCAGCTACCAAGCAAGACCATGCTGGAGGTAGCTGGGTTCGATTCCCGGTCCGATCTAGGAATTTTTCGGGTTGGAAAATTTCTCGACTTTCCTGAGCATAGAGTATGATTGTACTTGCCACACAATTATACTAATCTAATGCAAAAATGGTACAGGCATCGAAAGCTCTCAATTAATAACTGTGGAAGTGCATCTAAACACTAAGTTGAGAGCATGCAATAAGCTTGAAATGCGAAGAAGACGAAGAAGAATGCATTGCTCATCACAAAATCTCCCCCTCTCCCCTTGGAGCGTGAATAATGTCACAAGCTTGCCCCGTAACGTGGGTAGATCACCTTTTCGTGGTACGTTACGGGATGTAAGATCTACCACCGATTCCTAGTCCTAACTTCTTCAAACTAGGGGAACAGGATTTTTCAGTAATCAAAGGAACACATCTTAGTCCTTGTTACTTTTTATGCCTTGTTGATAGTGATAAGTCCTCGGGTTGCCTGGACCGAGGATGATCTTGAAACAAGGGAAAAATGAGTTAGTCTTCATCTATGTGATTCCTAATCTTCTAATCGTTGTTCCCTAGTTTGAAGTGGTTAAGACTAGGGTTCTGATGCATGGTCATTATCGGTGTCATAGCTTGTTTTTGTTGTTAAGGAATCCAATTTTGACTGACAAAGGGGCGCGCCTTTGGAGGGTGTTCCAACTCCGAAGGGTATAAATAGCGGAACCTTTCAGTTAGAATCGATTCCTTGCGATGAAGGCAAGAATGACAACTGTATCAAAACCGAATACTTCATCATTTCTCAATAGTGATGGAGTAATACGACATGCACTAAACTAAGGACACGGGATATACTACAATATATCAAATTACTGGTCGCAGTGGTGTTATGTCCCGAACAGAGGAAAAAAAAAATGTCACGGCTCGCTTTTTGTTGAACTTGCCCACATTTACTCGGATTTGCTGGTAAAATAGCTGTTAAACCTACCTCAAACTCCTCCTCTTTTCTTATCCTTCGATAATGTACCCCTTTAACCTCGGTTAAGCCGCGGGTATTCGGCCCAACTCGTACTAGACATAGAATTAAGTGAATTTTGTTACTTTTTGTTTGTGAATTATCAATGAATTATCGGCTCCGTAAAGCTAATGCGATTGAGTTGTAAGGCTAAACGAACTAGATAAAATAAACCTACCTCGAACAAACACCAGCTTGTTCGACTTGTTTGTCGGTTTGACGGTTTTTAAGATCAATTTTCTAAAACTGTTAATAAAACTAAGAGCTGCACAACAACAATCTCCATACCCTACAAGAGGTTCTCATAACCTCTTTAAGAGTAATATTAAATTTATGGAGTGTTATTGCGCTCTGCTGGAAATCAGCTATTGATTCAATTTGATTTTTTATTGCTTGACAGCAACTGCCATAAATTAGCTTGTCCATGTGCTGTTGTACAGAAACTATAACAGCAGTGAGCTGCCTGTAATCGCATATCAGTCCCATATGGATTTTCGTCAATTTTAAGATAACAACGCTATCCACTATCAATTGGCATCTAAAGGGTGTCCACAATGAAATTGCCACACTATGAAATTGCTCTAACTTTTTAACCGTTGGGAAGAATTTAATGAAAATTTGGGTGGATTTAGTTCATAGTGCATTATTTACATCCTGCAAGTTTTAAAGTCCTGTGATCAAAACTCGCGGAAATGGAGTCGAAAGAACAGCTCGTGCGTGATAAAATCTTGCGCATTCATCACGAGAACAAGGATCTCTCGCATCGTTCCATCGCTAAAACGTTGGGAATCGCGAATTTCACGGTGTCGCGAGGGATTAAGCGGTTCGAGGAACGGTTGACCGCCGATCGGAAGCCCACAAGAGAAGGAAAAAGTATTCCGTACAACACCAAAAATCACAACCGCGTAGTTGGGGCCTTCAACCGAAATCCGAACGCCTCCGTTAGGGATGTGGCTAAGAAGCTGCACCTAAGCCGAAGTTTTGTCCAGAAGGCCAAAACTAAGGCTGGGCTTCGAACGTTCAAGGTACAAAAGGCCCCTAATCGCGACGAGAAGCAGAACAAGTCCGCCAAAACCCGTGCCAGGAAGTTGTACCTCAACATGCTGACGAAAGTTGAATGCTGCATCATGGACGACGAAACATATGTGAAGGCCGACTTCAAACAGATCCCCGGCAACCTGTTTTTCACGGCCAAGGATAAGTTCAGCGTTCCGGAGCATGTCTGCACTCAGAAGATGTCCAAATTTGCGAAGAAATTCCTGTTTTGGCAAGCCATCTGCACGTGCGGGAAGTGGAGTGCACCTTTCGTGACCCAGGACACGATGAACGGACAGGTGTACATAAAAGAGTGCCTCCAGAAGCGGCTGCTTCCTCTCCTGAAGGTCCACAACGTCCCAACAATCTTCTGGCCGGATTTGGCCTCATGCCACTACTCCAAGGACGTGCTGAAGTGGTATGCGGACAATAAGGTCAATTTCGTGCCGAAAATGTTCAACCCTCCCAACACTCCGGAGCTCCGCCCCATCGAGAAGTACTGGGCGATTATGAAGCAGCACCTTCTTAAACGACCTAAGGTAGTGAAGACAGTCGAGGAACTGAAGAAAGTATGGGTTTACATGCAAAAAACGGTTGATTCACAGGTTGTGCAGAATCTTATGGCCGGGGTTAAGGCCAAGGTGCGGGCATTTGCGTATGGACTGTAAATAAAATACGAGTAAAATGGTAAAATGAAGTTTAATAGTTATTTCTCAATCCCTGCAAATTTGATGGCAAACGGATGAAAACTCGAATTTTGCGAATCAATTTTGTGTGTGGTAATTTCATCGTGGACACCCTTTACTTTCATATTACGTGATAAAACTACGGACATTGACCATAAAAAAATGTCAAAACAACATCAAGTCAGTTTGTCTCATTAAGCAAAGTAATCGCATATCAGTCACCGACAAACCGACATGAAACTTAAACTTAACTCTTGAACGAGAATCCATAAGGGCCGATTCAAATGTGCTAGGATAAACATTTTCCACGAACACGGTGGCACATGTCAGTTTTGTGCTTTGAGCAGAAATTCATGTCGGTTTGTCGGTGTATCAGTCCCATCCTGAAATTCAATCGTCCATAAGTCAAATTACAGTCTGTTTTTTGGATTGCCATATTTTTCTGATATAATAAAACATGCTATCTTCATTCATGCTGATTTCAACTTGAAAAAATATCAATTAATTTTCTATGATTTTTCAAATATTTACATGGGAATTGCACTTCTTAACTTCAACTGTCGTTTGCTCAATGCCTACTTTTTCTATATGGGACTGATATGGGATTATAGGCAGTGAGCCATTCTGTTTTTTTTTTATATTTGGAAATCTTTAACCGTGACAAAAAGTTCTAGTGTTGGTGTCAAGATCGTTGAGCATTTAATTTTAAAATTATTATTAGTTAGGTATGTTCCGATTCTACACATTTATGTTTCATTTTTATACCTGTGATCTTGACATTTTTACCTAAGGGATGAATACTTAAGGGGGTTAGGTTTTTGATAAGTCTTAAGTGGGAATAACACTGATGAAGACTGCACATTGTAGTCGAAATACGTATCTGTCATGGATAGAAAAATTAATAATGTGGAATTAAATGGAAGATAACCTTTTTCGCTGTCCGCTAATAACCCAATTTCATTCTTTATTAATTTATCTTCATCATGCCAGCAAAGAATCTACTTGGTCGAGACATGACCGTTTCAAATCTACTATAAAACAAATATTTTTCGATAATGTTGTCGGATGACTTTTTCCCAAGAGAATTACTTGTCCAATCGGTTTGCCAACTTAGAAGAGAACTCTAACGTACAAATGGGAAAAATTCATCATGTGAAATTCTTCTATCATAAATCTCACCTTGTTGTGCGTCTACCTTTGCGAGAGAATCTGCCTTCTCATTGCCTGGGATTGAGTAATGTGAGGGGACCCATACAAAGGTAATCATATATGAACTTTCGACCAACAAACTTATCTGCTCCCTTACCTTTGAAAAGAAATAAGATGAGTGCCTACCTTGTTTCATCGACCCAATAGCCTCAATCGAACTGAGACTATCCGAGAAGATGAAGTAATGGTCTGCGGGCATGTCGGAAAATAATCCCCAATGCGAAGTTGATTGCTGCTAGCACAGCAACATAAACGGAACAAGGTTCCTGAAGTTTCCGAAAGGCGGTTGAGCATTCATTGAAGACGCCGAAGCCTGTGGATCCATCAGTGAAAAATCTTATATTGAAATTGACTTGTTGGTACTTTTCAGCACAAATACTGTTTCATGGAGAGATCATAGTCATGTTCTCAACTTTGATTGGAGAACTATTCACTCTCAAATAGTTTTCCGTAAGCAATCAGAATAAGAATGTTAAAGTTGATACATGACAGTTGCCAGTTTGTTATTTACGAATAACTCCGTTACACACGCAACGCAACGCACGCAAAGTAAACGACGTTGAGATTAGCTGCTGATACCAGCTAATCTTTTTTATTATTGTTATTATTATAGTCACTTTAACCGAAGACACATATCAAGAAGACTGGCAACTCTTCCAATTTCTCATACGTCCGCTATGAGCCAGTTACAATCGCGTCATCTGCCGCTCAAAGGTAAATGTTCCGGTCGAATGTGTTGATTCCAACCATAGAAGAAAGATATGTGTATTTGAT